AAACCACCAAGTGACAATCCAGCTGTGTTTTTCTCTCTCCATTCCGTGTTATTTCCCAACCATTTCCTATAACTGCAATTCCAATCTGACATCTCCTAAGGATGATGAGATGACACTTCCCAGAATTTCTCATAAGTTATTCTAGCTAGGAATTCTGGGACTTGTTTTTCTATTCTACCCAGAATGCACCATGTGGAGGAAAGAATAGTTCCCTGTCATTTTTATCCTCCTTCTATAATAATTTCCAATAAATCAGCAGAAGTAGTTTTATCAGTTAAAGTCAATTTTATCAATAAAAAATCAATCAAGAAGAGATTGGACTGCCATTCATCAGAAATGGTGTAGGGTCTCCTGCTTGGGCAAAGGGTTGGATTAGATGACCTACAAGGTCCCTTCCAACTCTGTTAATCTGTTAATTATTGTAACTTTGCTTTTTGCTGAAATAATTATACCCCAAATTGGCAACTTTCAGATATATTTAAGTTCAAATCCTATAATTCTACCAAGTGACTAAGGATTATAGGCTAGGAATTTGTGGTTCCTATAGAAATAATACCATACTAAAGTCAAGAAGGTTATTAAGTGAATATATCATGAGAGGGAAGATCTTAAAGTCCAAACCCAGGGGAGGAAATACCATTAAGGTAACTAACAATTGGGTAATTCAAGTCATTTGACACACAACTGGAATAGTGGGCTAGACTTAAGCAGAACTAGAAGTCTCAGATAGGACCAGAAAAATAATGTAAATGAATCATGCCCTTCCACCATTAAGCAACACTGACTTTACTTGCCAAGGAGCAAGTTGGGTATGGAATATTGCAAGTATGCCAGACAGTTGAAGAAGAAAAAAGAACATTGGAAGAATATTTGAAGGACAGTGAAGAAGATACACTGAAGCTTGTACACCTTGATGGGTTACTGAATATCAAAGAGACCAAGCCTGCCTAGGAGAATGACCAAATGAAAAATAGAAAAGAGACATGGCAAGGCAAAATATTACATGGCCATTTAAAAAAAAAAAGCCCTAGCAGGAAAAGCAGATAACAAAAACCTGGTGATGATTAAGAGGAGGGAAGTTGAAGAAAGAGACAGCAGGGTTATGGTTGCACAAGACCAAGCCTTATGAACAAATGCATACAAAGCCAGAATTGAAAAGACAGCAATGGACAGCAAGTTCTCCCTCTTCAAAGAAGCCGAGGAAACAGTGGATCATCTGATTAGCTGCTGCAGGATCACACATACTGACCACAAACAAAGGCATGACAAAGTAGCTACAATCAGAATATCTGCAAAAATGCCTGCAAACAAGAACCATTGGGACTACAAAATAGACCAAGTATTAGAAAATGAAGAAGTTACAAGTGATCTGGGACTTTAGAATTCAAGCAGGCAAACAGTTGCCACATAACACCCCAGACTTGAACAACTGTTGATAAAAAAGACAAAAAAAATCCTGCACAGTGAACATTGCAATAACTGAAGACAACAAAACAGAAGGGAAAGAACTAGAGAAACATGACAAAATGCAAAGACCTACAGATTAAAAAAAAATAGAATAACTGTGGCAAAAGAAAGCAAAGATATTATCTGTAGCAATTGGTGCCTTGGCTGCAATCCCCAAACTTCCGGAGCACCAGTTGAACATCATTGGCATTGATAAAATCATTATCAGTCAATTGCAAAAGTTTTCACTTGCAATAGCTTACATCCTGTAATGATATCTTTAACACTATCAAACAACATCTGCCTACCCCAGGTTCTTGGGAAAGACAGAACAGCTGGATAATGCCAAATCCAGTATAAACATCTGGCTGACAGTGCAACCAGCCATAATAATAACCAAACATCAAGGCTTTCTCTGTTTCAGTTTTCCTTGGTTATATTTTATGTCTATTGTGATTGTCAAGTAGTTGGCAGATATATTGCAAGTTTCCTAGGCCAGATCCATTCACTGCAGTATTATTAGTCTCACAGGGCTTCTGGCAGGTTTTTTTTTTCCTTAGCCTTACTTGGAAGTGACAAAAATCAAATATGGAAGATTCTACATGAAAAAAATATTGTCTGGTGAGCAACAATAAGGATTATTTGGTTAGTTTCCTGGGTGAACTGTATTTGGTAATCATAGTTTTTGTGCCTGTTTTGAATGAATCATTCAATTATTCAGTTCAGAGATGCAATTCTAAGGTAATTTAATTGAGCCTCCCAATCAGATTTATGAATGGTATTGGCATGGCAGATTGATTTGCCTCCAAATTGATTCAGATCATGTCTGCATCTGTCATGATTTTTTTAATTGATCTGGAAGCTCAAATCAATTCAACCATTTGATTTGGCTATCTGACCCAAATAGAATCAGTTTCCTGAATTAAAATGAAAGCTGCTGTGGAATCACAGGTCTCATCTAAACGGGATTTCTCCAGATTCATATTCTCCCATGTCAACCTGGGCAATAGTAATCTGTTAATCAGCCTATGAACAAACAAACATAGCTTAATTGTATGTGTGAACTCAACATCTTTAAGGATGGCCATGTTCAGACAACAGACCACTGGTAGAAGTATGGATTTCCTTGCAAAGCAGGACTTGATTTTATAATACTATTTTTTTTCCTGATGTTAAGAATGAAATAGGCCACCGGTTAGGAGCAGGGGGATAGAAACCTTATCAAAAGGGAGGTTTTTAGTTATACTTCCCAGTGCAGTTCCATCTCCCCGCCCCCAACCCTTACATTTCCCCTCTGAGGATGTAGCAATTCTTTCCCAAGACTGCCAAATCTTTCTTAAACATCTGAAATCTTTAAGAAAGGGAGGATACACCTGTAAAGTCCCTTGTCCTGCAGCTGAAGAGTACAGGTCTGATCGTTGATCAGTCTTGCTGCCTGTGTGCAAAGGAGCAGAAACAAGAGACTATTAAAAGAGACGGAGGAGGAGGAGGAGGAGTGGAGAAAAAAGCAGGGTGGAAGATACACACAAACGCTAGAGAGGCCAAGAAAATTAGACGGGGATTCTGATGTGCTTGGGTTTTTGCCTGTCCCCCCAAATACACCTTGAATCTTAATTCACTCCTGCTCTCTCTCTCTCTCTCTCACACACACAGAGAGAGAGAGAGAGAGAGAGAGAGAAACCCGGCCATCTGATCTCTCTCGGAGATCAGCCCTTTCCAGTACACGCACTTTCTCCCCTCTTTCCATCTGGTCTTTTTACATCCAATCGCTGCTTGTAGAAATGTGCTGTTCCAAGATACAGGGAGATATTCCTTTCCACCTCGCAAACTGGTCCTACTCGAGTTTTTTATTTTATTTTTCAACTTCTCCCCGGCGGTAGTTTTCTCCCCCCACCTCCTCCCCCAATATTTCTGCCCTCGGTGTTTTCAATCGATTTATTTATTTTCTGTTCGGAAGCCGGACTATCTTGGTTAAAAATAATAACCACTGATTGGCGATGGTGGGCGGTTGTTATTGTTGTTTAATCTGGGACGAATAGACTCGCGACTTTTTGCTTTCCATTCCTCAGTTTATGCACCAGGATTATGTACCAGGGATTATTTTTTCTCAAGATTGCAGAATATTTTTTTTTTTAAGGAAAGAAATGAATAGAAAGTGTGTGGGGGGGGGGGGGTTGCGTGGAAGGAGCGTTCTGGTGAAAGGCATTCGATCTAGCAACAGGCGAGTTTGCGTTCTCTCGCGGTTGGCAATCCCCACGGGGATCCTTTCCCCTCCCCCCACGTGCACCTGGCCGGTCCTTTTCTGACATTTCCTCGGAAGTAAATGTAACCAGCCACTCCCCCCCCCTCCCCGCATCGGAGGCGGGCTCGTTCCCACGTCAAGGGACCCTTTCGGGTTCCTGCGGTTTCTGTAGGGAGGAATCTCTCAGGGGGTCCCCGCACCAGCCGCGTCCTTAAGCCCACGCGTGTTTTCTGCGGGAGAGAAGGACGCACGGCCAGCTTTTTCGCGGATCGGGGCCTTCACGCGGTCCGAGCCACCGAACCCGCCCGTCGATCGGCCGGGAGAAAGCCTACCCTACGCCGAACTTCGGAAATCACAACAACGCGTGCCCCCCCCGCCCCGGCTTTCCCATCTCCGTCGCCGCGCACAGAGAGCTCGGAAGCTCACTCTCCAGGCGCCAAAGCATTGTGCCCCCCCCCCCCCCCCGAAAAAAGAACCCGCGCCGAGCGGAGTCACGAGTGCAAACGGCGGGGCCCGTGGCTGTTCTTCATCGCCCACCGTCGCCACCACCTCGTCGGTTCTGGTGCCGCTTCACTTCTGCAGCACTGCTGGGCGTGGGAAGCCAGGAAGGGCGAGCTTCGTGACTCGCTCTCTCTTCCTACTGCCCGGTGATAGATATATATTTTCCCCTGCAGGTGTTTCAGTTTTCATTCTGCCCAGTAGGTGGGACTTGGGGACTCGGAGCATCATTATAGGAGCCCCCCGCCCGCTCTCGCTTCCTCCTCCTCCTCCTCCTCCTCTTCCTCCTCCTCCGTGCCGCTGCGAATCTTCTGTTGCAATCTTCACAAGTCTCGGGAAGAGCAGCCAGCGAGCCAGCCCAGCGAGCCTACGGTGGATCAACAAGGCACCGGGACACGCGCGCAACATTCCTCCCTCCCCCCCAAAAAATCCCGCCACCACACACACACAGACACACACACACACACACACACACACACACACAGACACACAGAGCGCGCGCATCTCTCCACCAACCGCTATGCCTCGCGCACCGCTCTCGTAAGAGGGAATTTACAGCCTCTCCGCTTGGCCAACATGGTTTCAACGTCGCGAGGATTTTTTCTGGCTCTGATCGCTTGAGAGTGGTTTGGTTTTTTGTTTTTGTCTTCCTTTTTGGTTGAGGTCCCCCCCCTCTTTCTCCCCCCCCTTAAAACCTTATTTTTCCCCCCCTCCTCCTCCGCTGCTTCCCCCCCCCCCCCTTTTTTTCTCCCCCCCCTCGCCCCCCCCCCCCCCTCTTTTTCTTCTTTTTAAATAAAGCCACACCAAGTCGAAGATGGATGTCTCGTTTTGTCCGACCAAATGTAGTTTTTGGAAGGTTTTCTGGCTCTGGAGCATTTGGGGGGACTACTTGGTTTCCGTTTTGGGTTGCCCTGCCAACTGCCTTTGCAACAAAACCGAGATCAATTGCAAACAACCAGACGATGGCAACCTCTTCCCTCTGCTGGAGGGGCAAGATTCGGGATCCACCAATGGAAATGCCAGCATCAACATTACGGATATCTCTAGGAATATCACTTCGATGTAAGTCCCTCTTCTTCTCCCCTCGGCTCGAGATCTTCTCTCTCTTTCCCTTCCTCACTCCCCCCTCCCCTTCCCCCCGTGTGTCCAGATCCGAATGTGTGGTGACTGTAAAGGAGAATGCAGGGCTGGGCTGGGGTGGGAGGGAAGCGAAGATTTGGCTTCTGCCTGGTGACGGATGCATCCGATGCCCCTTTGGCCGCCGCTTCTATCCTGTGACTTGCTCGCTGCTTGTGGAGAAGGTTAGGATGGGACCTAACTGCGTTTCGCTGAATGCAGATTTAGCATCCCTTCCAATCTGCTCCCGCAAAATTCTGGGAGCCTCCCTCGGACGAAAAAAGCAACAGTTTGCAAAAAAAAAAAAAAAAAAAAGCTAGAAAGGGCCAGTGGAGTCGGAGGGGATGGCCAGCAACCTTGAAGGCAGTTGGAAGTGGGGGCCGCTCTGTGTGTGTACATGCATTTGTGTGGCAGAGAGGTTGTATATCTCTGGCCAACTGATCTTTCGGTTACCTACAATCTCTAGCTTGCTTTAAACTGTGTGCAAAGAAGAATATGGGGTCTCTGTCCCTCTCCTTCCTTCTCTTTCTCTCTCTCTCTCTCCCCCTCCCTCCCTCCCTCCCTCCCTCCCTCCCTCCCATGATAACAGGACTTTTTCTGATTCTTTCCCCCCCCTCCTTTTATATTGAAGTCTCCCTGCCCTTGTTCATGCTTTTTTTAAAAAAATAATAATAACACAACCCTATTAACACTGAAGATACATATGCCCAGAGAGAGACAGAAAGGGACACACATAAATCCACTCCTGTGTGTGCCTAAAATGACCTTTTGGAAATAATTGTCCTACATAAAGTCATCCACATTCAAGTTGTCTCTCTCACACAGACACACACAGACACACACAGAGGCTCATGGACACACAGACGCTAAATGCACACATATTTTAATGGCCAGTGTGTGTCTGATTCCAGAATCAGCCCTTTCTCTCCTAGTCCCCCCTCTCTTTCTCTCTCCCTTCTCCTTTAAGCAGTGCATATTTTGAGTAGCTGGCCTGGGGTGGGGGCTGTTGGAAGCAGAGATATTTTTAGTGGTGTGCTTTGCTGCTTTATCTGGCAAAATCGACTCCCAAGTTCCTTCTTTCTCCTGGTTAGGAAATCCCAGTGGATGAAACACCACATAAAATCCCATGGGGGGTGGTGATTGGGGGTAGAATTCCCCTCCCTCTTTTCTCAAGTTTTTACCAACCTAGATTGCAAATATGAATCACACCAAACACCTCTAGGCTTGGCTTTCTGCATTGTGCTAATACACACACACATATGCTTGTTTATAGTGAAGGAGTGGATGGACCAACCCACCCACCCCCTTCATTCATTGACACAGACCCAAGTAGGCTGATTGGGGTGGGGGAGGGAAAGACCTCCTGTGTAAGTTACCCACAGGACTCCCATAGGGATGGGGGGGGGAGGTGTTTGCTGGATGAGGAGTGTGTGATGCTCATTATTATTATTAGGCAGTGAAATGCAGGAAAAGATAGGGATCGCTAATGAGAAAGGCGATGGTGGGTATTCTTATTAATTAAATATCCCAGTGGCACAAGACACTTCATAGAAGGATTGGGGGAGGGGACCAACAGATGGGTGACTTTAGATTGCTGTTTTTCCATCCTTGGAACAGGGGAGGTGCTTTTTAGCTTGAACAGAGCTCAGAAACAATTGCCCAAATATGTATGTGATATTTTTGTGCTTGCTTGTCAGAGAGACCTTCGTGGTGCACAGAAGTTGAGAAGGTGGCCTTTTAAAATACTCTTTAAGATGGACTCTCTGTCTTTCTCCTGGGCTGGCTAGATCCTAAAGGCTGGCCCTTGGCCTTGTGAATAACTTAGCAAAAGTTACTAGACCCTAGAGAGGTGGATAGCATGGGAAGAGAGAGTGTGTCTGTGTGTATGTGAGAGGGAAGAATATTTCTTGTTTCCAAATATTTTCCTGCATGGTTGGTTGGAGACAATGCTAACTTGCTAGAGGTGACTGGGTGAGTGGTTGCTTTTAAATCCATCCTGCCCTTAGTAACTTTTTCATTTTATTGCTATTTTGATTCCCACAATTTTTTTCCCCACTCATTGCCCCAAAGAATCAGAGAAGCCAACTTTTGGAAATAGTCCTGCATTCAGTTCCCAGACGTATCCCTTTTTACAGTACAGGATGGTTTCTAGCTAACATCAGGAAAAATAAGTGCATGGATGATTCTGGCCTTCTCATCTTTCAGAGGCATCTTGCCCAATTTTCACTTTCCCCCCTCTTGTTCTCCTGTAATTCACCACCATTTATAAATGAAGTGATATCTTTTTAGTATTTTATGTGTCTATATCATAATCTGAACTGCTGGGGGAGATATGATTATGTGAATCTTTTGTATCCAGGAAATAACTTGATTACTTTGAAAACGCTGATCAAGCTGTTAGCTGAATAGGTAGAGAACCTGCTCCAAACTAAATATGTTTTATACTTTCTTCAAAAGAACATGTTTTAATTAGCCCCCCACCCCCCCAATTAGAGGTTGTTGGGCTAGCTGGAAATCTGACTCTGCTCCTGATCTTCACCGTGGCCTTTTGAAATAGCTAAGAAAAAAAAGATACACTGGATATTTGTCTGGCTAGTATGATGCTGCAGAAATACACTTTTGCATTTGGGGAGGGGGGCTAAGAAATAAAGCAGAAAAGGAGCTGGCTTTTCTTGAAAGGGGATTAACCAATTACGGTAGAATCTATGAAGGATTCTGCCCACGATGACAGCTAAATGGAACTTCCATCTTCAAGGGCAGTATTCCATCAACTGTCAAATCCACCATGTTTGTTACTGCTTTTAATTTTTTCAAGATACTTTTGTCTATCTGCAGTTGGAAGCAAGGTGCTGGCTCAATGATCTTTTGCTTGAATAATAATAACAGGGCTCTTTTCCTAGCATGGACAAGCACGAAATCGAATAAATTTCTATCCTGTTCTCCAAAGACTGTAAAATTCTTAAGGAGTCTGCTTAATAAGCAAGAGGCAACCACATGAAACAGAGAACCGAAAACAACACCCCCTGTCCCCGCTGATCGTGCCAAATCAATGGGCTTCTAGCAGTCTTAGAGAAAGCTCTGATGGGGCGATTCCATCAATTGACCCTCCCCCCCTTTGAAGCAGATCTACAAAATGGAATCGCCTTCCTGGGTTTGGGGTGTGTGTCACCAGACCACTTTATTTTGGATGCTTCTTTAGCCTTCAAGCAATCTGCTGATGTGCAGGGGGCCATTCATCTCACCGATTGTAATAATGCCTTGCTATTTCTCACCTTGTCTTTCCTTATGAAGAAGGTTCTTGGTTTTTCTCTTGAAGATTTCTTTGGAATTTTTCTTGATGAGGCTTTTGAGCTGACTTTCTTGATATGCTGACATGTTGTTGCTCCCTCTGTAGCCTCCCTGGCTGTCCATATTCTCTGAATTTTTTTTTTTGAAAGAAAAAAAAAGATGCATGAGAACAATTCCTTCTGGGTGAGTTTCCTTGGGATTTAATTGAAGGATGGGAAGCCAGGTTGGCTGTAGGCTGCTGGAGAGTGATTGGACAAAAAAAAGGAAGAACATTCCCGCCCTCTCTCCCTCTCCCTCCATACAACAGGACCCTACACCCCTGAGTATTTCATGGGTAAGAGAAGAGAATGCTTTTCTCCTTTGGTAGAAATGTCTGAAGCCAATACTCTTTTGCAAAACTGAACTGGTAGAACACAGCTGCTGTGAAAAATATCTTGGCTGGTTGATAGGCAGATGATCAGAGAATGCCCTTTTCATCAGTGCTATATTGAAGTCCAATGAGTTGATACAGTCCAGAGGACAGGCTGAAAGAGTTGATACAGTCCAGAGGGTGTCCTTCTCTGGGCTTCCCCTCTGAAATGGCCTGAGAATCTTACCTTGTCAGATAAAGATGGAAGTTACACTAGCTGTTTTATTGTGACACAACAGTGTCTGTTTAAGCACCACCAGGGGCTTTTAATTTCATTAACTGTGTGTCTCTTTGAAGCAATCCATCCCCTCTGAGAAAAAAAAAATCTCTGAGAGTCTTAGATGTATCCAAACAAGAAAATGAAAAGGGGGAAAAGATATTATCTAAAGTGTGTGTGTATCTATATATCTATATATCTCTATCTCTATCTATCTATCTATCTATCTATCTATCTATCTATCTATCTATCTATCTATCTATCTATCTATCTACCTACCTATCTATCTCTATATTTATCTATATCTATATCTATCGCAAGGCCCTGCAGATGGATGGAGGCTGAGCATTTGTTATCCCAGCCAAAGGATGGATTCAAAAGTTTCATTGTGAAGACTGAATAAATAAAGAATAATTCTTGGCTGGCATCAATCCACAGAATAATGTCCACAAACAGTGATGGATGCTAGTTAAGAAGATAAAGTTTCCTTAGCCCAATGGTAAACTGCAGAACTTGGGAAACCATTCTGCTAGATAGTGCTGATCAAACAATTAAACACAACATTCCCCAGATAGCAGCTGGTGATTCCAAAGACTTCCTCACTTTGGAAAATAGGATTTTTCTTTAAAACATCAAAATTCTGCAAGCAAATGTACTAATCTTCTAAAATTATCTCATGATATTAACTGTGAGAGTTTTGCAATTTCAGAAGACAAGGGGCCAGGAGAAAAACAAGGTAAAACACAGCACAAAGGTGCCCATTTTTTGTTTGACTAATATTGGCCTTGGAATATCTAGACGTGTAAGGATGAGTCTTTGATGCTTTTCACTCATAATAAGTATGGAGGCCAAAGTCTGTCCTTTAAATGAGGGTCTTGTATTATGTGTGTTATTCTGTAATTTTGGGGGCTGATTTCTAATATCTTGAAGTAGCAGATTGCAGATGGAGTGGCTATAAAAATGAAGACATGAATGGGAGTAGATTGGGAATAGTTGGGGAATTGATGAATACCTATTTAGGTCCAGTCTATG